CGGGGTCCCTAACACGAAGGGGTAATGGCCCCTTCTACCCGACGCCCTGAGGAGATATAGCCTCCGGGCTAATGTGCCCGAGTCACTGGGACCACCTAATCTTAGTTCTCCGGCTAACGGGACCTAGGGAAGGCTGACCCGACCCAGCCAAGGTCCTCAGGTCTCGATTACTGGTCCACTCAGACCTGGCCCTGATAAGGACATCGGGTCCGGGGATCTTCAGGGTCATAGTCTTCAGGCAAGCTCTTCAGTCTTCGGCTTGACACTGACTGCCGAAGCCGCTCTGGGGTCCGGCTTTTATGGGGCTCCCAGGGTCACTCCGCCCCCGGCCACGCCCACTCTCTGGAACCTTCTGGAGGGACCTAGATTGTTGTGCAATCCCCCAGCCCCCACTGGGGGCCTGGGGTGTCCACCTCCGGTTCCTAATCGCCCTCCAGATTGCCTGACCCACGAGTCCTACTTGGTACAGGCCGGACCCGCTATTGCCCCCTGTTGGGCCCTGACTGGAGCTACATATTTTCCAGTAGTGGTGGCGGCGTATTACGCCTGACAATTACCCACCACATATGCACGATTCAACGTGCATTGTGACCATTAGAATAAATTCAAATCGATTTTGAAATTTTGGCCAATTATCGTTTTGTTATGCTTGTGACCCAGGCCCCTCTTACGAATGAGACTCCTCCTGGTGTCTTAAGTTCTCACCAGGTTAAACGAAATAAGCTTGAAGTTGAACTTGAACCATGATAGAAGGAAAACATTTCACATTCAAAGCCCACACATTATTTTCCTTTGCCAACTTGACCATATGGGCGTTGACTGTTATTGTGTACGATATTGACCGTGTTCAGTCTCCGGCCAAGCAATAAAAACAGAACAACACGACCTCCCATGGGGATCCACAACGGTCTGAAAAATGGACAGCGACAGCGAGGAGGAAGAGAAGGGAGGAGGGAGGCATTGCGCACTGCCTTGCGTCGCTGAATTTCCATCCTCTGTGTACCTCAAGGACTTTTCCCTTTCATTGCCGCAGACTCCACCCCCCCCCCCTCCAGTAGGCGAACCCGTAAGCAGCTGCTGCCACTGCAGCCGGTGCTTTGGGATCGGGCGATCAGGGAGGATCGGGGGGGGGGGGTCAGCCGGGCATTACTGACAGAGAATGATAGAACGACAGCAGCGAAAGGAAACTGCTGCGCTTGAAAAATACACGGCCATTGTGGCCGTAGTGCGAATGCGACAGGGATTTTTTTTCAGATTGCAAAATAAAAATTTCCTCGCTCTCCTAATTCCCCTACCTTTTCACTGTTTAGTTTGTTTCAGCAAAAAAAATGCGTCCGGTATTTCACACGTGCGTTGTTGGATGCTGCATTGGCAATAACGTACTGCACTGCATATAGTTGTGCCACCTCTGCCCTTAAAATGACCTTCCCCTCTAACGCCTGTGGCAGTCAATATGCCGGCATTCTGCAGCAACTCCGCTCTTCGCTTATTATATAATTAGCCAGACAATCCGATGTGCTATGAAGGCCGCTACAAATAAATTTGAGCATTACAATAATTTATCGCGTCATGTTTACATTTTTGACAATTGCAATGTCAAAAAATATGTTTATGTATTTATTTATTTCCTTCATAAGTAAATGCATAATGGACTGATAAAATTGCTGAAAACGTGTTGAGACAAATATATAAAATATCTTATTACAGTGTCTTGCAATGTGAGAGTCATAATTTGTCTGCCAATCTAGCCATCCATACATTAATTAATTGGCTGAGAAATTATTATTTAATTTGTACTTGTGAATGCTGTATCAAGTCATTGTATTTAATGCAAAACAGTTACAAGGGGGGTGGGAACTATGCAGCAATGATGATGTCACAACAATGACGAAATTGTTTGAGAGGTTAAAGATAGAGAGGATGATGCAATGTTGTGAGAAACTAAAGCATGGACATCAATAGGTGGTATTTAGTAAGCATTAGAGTCACCACCGCCATCATCATCTTCAGACGTAATGTATCCACTGCTGGATGACGGCCTCCCCAAGCCATCTCAATCTTTCAAAGTCTTACGCTTCGACAAATCGTCATTACCTTGCACACGAGATGATTTCATCACTCCATCTCCACGGCGTGTTTTACCTCCTTTAGCTGCCACTCTGTCGGTAGTCTCGGCCACTGGCCATCATCCCTTTCCAGCAAAAAAATAACTATTGAATATATTTTTGTTACATTTTATTACCAGGTATTGCCCACTGAGCTATTCAGCTCTTTTTCAGAAGCGACCTGGCCACAAATGATTGGCCAACGAAGTGGCTTATCACGTGGAAATCTATAGCAGCCAAATACAACAAACGCATGTCGATTCTAAATGTGAAGGAAAAAAACGGAGAACCCGGAGAAAAAATCCACACGACCACGGGGAGAGAGACATCCAAACTCGGAATATACAGGTGTCAGGGTTGGGATCAAACCCACGACTTCCTGTATACCAGGCGAGGGAGATAAAATATCACTACCGTAGCAACGTGTCCTGCACATGTCTATGTGCTTTGCAGTGTCCCTAACTTGCATATGTTCTCCAATTTTCTCCAATCCATGTTTTTCCTCATTGTGTCCCTCAGTATAATTCCAAGCGTGCACCACTCCATCATTTGTGGGACATTATCAGCTTTTGTTCCACTCTCGAAATTTCCCTATTTCTGATTCATATGTTATAGCAGGTGATATACACTGATTAAACACTGTATAGGTAAACCGAGAAATTACTAATGATCAGATTTTGCATGGTGATGGGCATTTCAAGTAACCATTAGAGGCATATGTGAACTTAAGCAGTCCTGTTTACGACCACAACGGCGCTTGATGTCTCTATTCAGGCGGCACTCGACACAGAATGGGTTTCCATGAACATGCAGAAGTCGACAGGTACCTCAAGACTAAATACAACTTTAGTTTAAAAACATCTTCAAGGATTACAGGACGAAAATGAATGAGAGCTCATGAATCACTCACCACATACAGCATTTCAAGTTCTGTAGGCCAGATCATTAATAATTATAAATGAGAAAAAACATTCATAAAATAAGGACAAAACAAAGGTTATAAATGCACTAAAATCGATAATTTAAATGATCTGGAGATATTGTTTCGATGATGCACAATTATTCAGTGGCACATGTTCAGCATTTTCAAGCAGAGTATTTGAGCCAAAATTTTCCACATTGTATTTGTCAAGCCTTTGGTTCGCGACCTTTGTGGTAAAAAATTGTATTGATAGCAATTAATTGGAGGTAAATCACATCATATTTTCGTTTGTAATATCTGCTGGTGACATACGTAGTCTTTGTGTTGGTTGTGTGGCATGCTCTAAAACTGAACATCAATATACTGTACTGCAATTCAAAGTACTGTGACACATTAGAAAGTAAACGTATTCTCAAACTCAACATATGGTCTAACAAAACCTAGACAGGTAAATGTTATGAAAAAATGAGGTCACATGTTAATGTTTGCAACTTTAAAAAGGCAATGGCACTATCACTACAGTAATCAAGCAATTAGTTAATTAAAATGTATTGTTTCAATCATTCTGGTGACCCTGAGTTAATTGCAATTGTCAATCATACCAGTGACTGCATCAGCACATGCGCTCTCTGTCTTATGGAATGCCCTCATTGTTGTTCAATACTCAGTCGTGTTGTTCAGCGTAACTACTCTGATCCGGAGTATACTTGTGACAGTGACTAGGGCACGTTAGCCCGGAGGCTACACGGTCTGATGAGCTTCGGTAGATGGCAAACGAGGCCCTGAATTAACCAGATTTCTAACTTCTTCTTCATGATTATTTTGCTTTTTTTACCAAGGAAAGCCTCGCTGAGCCTCGTGACTCTTTTTCAGCAGGGTCCTGCTAAGTTTTCGCAGTAGGAGAGGGTGGTGCAATGATTGTTCTGTATATTCCAATAGAGTTCTTTTTTTCTTTCAAAGTTGGCAATATTGGATCGTAATGCTGGAAAATAATGTAAGGCTATTCACACTGTGTACACGTTGTGTCGTCTATGTCAGCCATTCATTATCTGCTGAATCATACAGATGCCAATGTCATCGCTTACTGTCAAAAGGGTAAAAAAGTAGACATTCGCTGTTTAACCAGCCAGGCTTATCCTGTTATATCTGAGAAATTACTTGAACAAATTTGTCAGGATTTGTTGTAAAGGTCAATGATTAGCATCTTTGCCTGATATTTCTTACCCGATGAAAAGCATACGTGAATAGCATTAAGGTCATGAAGTCCCGCGGTGTGTAAAAACTGCTACAATAATAATATCAAATAGATTTTAAAATGAATAGCTAAATTAATCTCAGTATTGTATTCACCTTCTGTGTCTGACTTGCAAGGTGCCTATTAATTCATCTTGTAAATTAATCAATTTAGTTGCAGAAGAGAGATCACCAACGGGTTAATTTACTGTGTACAGTATACAGTTTAAATAATACCGCAAAACAAATCAAATTATATGGGAACCCATATTATCATCGAGGTAATGTGCACTTCAATGTATAGTGGCCATTCACCTAGACTTGTTTTCAGAATGGTCCTGCATTTAGGATGTTGGACATTTCCATTCATTCGTGTTTGGCTTGTTGTGACACCACCGGAGGACCGTGGGAGATCAGCATTCGGGGGTGGGGGGTAAATAATTAAAGCTTCGCACAGTTTGATTTAAGAATACATAGCCATGCAGCCCCCTGTTTACCATGTCACGTGGCCACACTTCAGCACGCTAAACAGCGCGTTTTTTGAAGACGGCGGTGGGGGGGGGGGCATAGAGGTCGTACCAGAGTGCAGTGGTACCACAATGGAATTTTCCCCACGCCCGCTACTGACAACCGTGCAGTGTTTGAGCACGCTGAGGTTTTACAACGTAACCAACCAACCCGCCGCATGGCAGACGGGAGGCCCGACCGCGATCGGAAGCGTCCCCCCCCATGCAACTCACCTAGATAGAGCGAGGCGTTCTCCTCCTTCACGTTGTCATCCAGGTAGGTCGGCCCCAGGATGTAGATGGGAGTGGAGCCCATGCCCACCAGGATCTGGGCGCTCATAACAGCGCCAGGTAAATCCCGTGGCTGCCTCCCCCGGTGTTCCTGTCGCAGGGCTTCGCCGCCTTGGAAGCGCCTGGAGACAGCGAGCTCGCGTTGGCGTTGGCGGCGTCGCCGCACAGAAATTTTGTCGCTGTCACGGTGCTCGGCCTCGAGCTCCTGGAAGCGTGCGGCGTAGTTTTCGTGGTAAGGCGGCGAGAGGAAGTGGGGCATCGTGAAGATGACCGCTCCGAGGGCAATGAGGGCTCCGCCGACGGCCAGCCAGCGTGGCCGGTGACCCCGGCCGCCGTAGTAGCTGACGGCCACCACCACCAAGAGGTTGCCGATGTCAAAGCAGCTGACCAGGAGGCGCGACTCGGAGCTCTTGAGGTTGTAGCGCTTCTCCGTGGTGGTGATGACGCTGCTCAGGTAGTCGGACACCATGAGCGCTTGGATGAAGGTCTCCTGACCTGCAGATGCAGAACAGGAAACAGCGCGAGTCGGCCAACTCTTTCGTGCTGATGTAGCTCCTGACCCGCAGGACCACTGCCTGCCAGGTACACGTCAGGTCCGTCGCACCGCCGTGATGATGGCCGGCCACCACGGTCCCACCACCACTCTCGTTCGCCACCCGATGGACGTCCCCGGCCACGCCACTGAGGTCGGGAAGGCTCTTGGACTTCATTCGCTCCTTGTTATCGTCCGCCTCTTCTTCCTGCCGCTGCTACTGCGCCGGTCGGCAAGCCATGGTCACGAAGAAAGCACAGCTAGAGCAGCGGAAGATTACGATGCGGAGCTTGTCGTCGTTGTTGTTGTTGGGTTCTGAGTGTGTGTGGCTGCTGCTGATGTCCACTCCTGTGAGCTCCTCGTCTGCACTAGCGCAGGAGCGGCATGCTGCACGCAGTGCAATGCGGTGGCGATGCAGAGTGGGTAGAGTGTGTGTGTGACTGTGTGTGGGGAGCGATAGTGTAGCGGTTAGCGCGCTGCGCTATGAACCTGGCGACTCGGGTTCGATTCCCGCTCACGGCCAACACCAGTGACGATTATCTGAACCGGTCCAGGGCCTCCCCTAGGTCGACTCAGCCTTAAATTAGTACCTGGTGCGGTGTGTAAACATTGCCACTAGGGAGACAAAGGCGGTCGGGCGTGGTGCTGGCCACCCACCCCCTCGTGTACCGTTCCGGCCTTGATAGGTGCTCGCTAACAGCACTTGCCCCTACAGTCTGTTAAGGCTATATGGGGGATCTTTATATTTGTGTGTTTGTGCTCTCGGAACACAAACGCTAAAAAAAAGCGCAGAGCAGCAGCGTATTGCCACCGGAGGCGAAGTGTTCATTCAGAGGACGTCCCGACACACGCTTGCCTGTGTGGGTACGTCTGTTACCCTGCGCAAAACGCATGCCGCCGCCGCCGCTATTGACGAGGAGGCGCAAAAAGCAGTTGTACGGAGGAAGACACTGGACGGGAAAATGCGCATCCTCCTGCTCCCGCTGCTTGCTGCTACTGCTGCCCTAAAACCCCCGAGCGCTGCTCGGTTGAAGTTCTGGGTGGCTGTGATGTCACGCCTGGGCTTTGTGCTCACTCAGCGGGACGGCGCATCCACGAACACGTCACCCGCATGCACACCCTGGGAGCCTCAAGCAATGACGTAACCGCCCTTTGAAGTCTGCATGTACCGCCGCATGTATCTCTCGCTCTCTCCTCGTATTCCGCAGCGTGCGTTAAGATTGAACCCGCATCAAGGGGCATTTAGCTGAGCTGTCGCGAATCCCGCACGTTCACACCGAGCCGTATGAATCGTAACATACAAAAAAAACTATCCATAAGTCCGCTTGTTTGAGCCGCGGCCATTTACTGCTTACGAGACGCCTACACGTACCTTAGTTTGGCTCTGTGAGCCTCAGGCATTAACACTGAACACGAATCAATGAGCCTTAATCTGGCTCTATGAGCCTCATGTGTTAACTTTGTATATAATTATATTACAATATGGAATATACGTATGAGAAATGAAACTGTGGTAGTAATAATAATAGTTTCTGGCATGTGGTGCGACTTCACATCGCCCTGGGTTCCACACGTTATTATGTAGACGTTAACCTATAGGGTAGAAAGCGTGATGATTGCTGACACAGCGCGGGGAGTTCACACAACAGTAGATTGATATTGGGCTTGTTGTTACAATAATAATAGAAAGTATGAGAGAAAATGGAATGAAACGTGCCCGGGGATCGCGTATAACAAGGAGATGGAGTTGTGAAATCACATCGTGTTTTGTGCTCGGTGGAATATTACATCGCCGAATTGTGATAGTTGGTAACGGCTTTGAGAGGTCTGCATCCAATAGTGGATTGATCATGGCTGTTGATAATGATCATTATGAATCGGTAACGAGCTTTGACTGCTTTTTGTTGGTTTAGCGTCACACTCAGTGAGAAGCACATTACCTGGTTCACTGATGACTAGGAGCATATATCATGGGATCTCCTTTGCCAGTACCAAAATATGATAATAGGGTTTTCTCCTTTTTTTGGCAACAAAAACAGGTGTTAAAATGTTAAAAAACGAAACTGAAACCTTTTACAAGGAATCATGTCTGCATTAACCACAATGCTTGTGGTCAGAATGCAAACAAAAAACATTCTGACCACCAGCATTGTGGTTAATGCAGACATGAACTACGCAGCCATGTCAAAGAAAGCGGGTAAACGAAATAACTTACTCAACTCTTCCGACAATGAGAACGATGAGGAGGTTGTTCCCGCCACGGCTCCCGAGACTGTTGCTCAGCCGGCGGAACCAGAGGACCGGCTGCCCTCGGCGCAAGTCAGCGAGCGTGAGGAAACTCCGGCCAGCACAACCAGACGGAGTTGGCGGGACATTGCTGCACACTTGGAGACCACGCTGGCAGCAGTTACGTACATGTTCAACATGCTGATGGCAGCAGAACGGACGACGTCTACGGGGACGGCGGTGGACGCAGCTGCTCTCCACGTCGCTTCAACAACGCCGATCGTGTCCGACCCAGCGGGCACGGAATCCGCCGTTGCGTCAGATTGCGTCAGACTCGACATCGACTTCACCAATGGGGCACACAGCTGCGTTGCGCCGGCTGCCACAAGTCCACGCATTCTCCGCGACTGAGGGTGACTGGACGGTATTTCATCTCCGCTTCAAAGCAGCATATCGCTCCATTGACTGGTCGGAGCACGAGGCGTTGCGGGCCCTGCCGACGGCCCTCGATGATGACTCATTGGCCGCCTTCTACTCCTTCCCCGAGACCGATCGATCATCACTCGCTGGTGCCTGTGCTGCGATGGCGGCTATTTACGAACCACCGTCGACCATCCGAAGGAAGTTCCAGCTCAGAAAGCGGGGTGACACGGAGTTGCCCCTGGCATTCCGCAGTGCTCTGTTAGCCCTCGGACAGGTGGCCTATCCTTCCATGGATCGGGCAGCTCTTGACTCGCTTGCTTTGGAATGGCTACTGACGGTGGCGAAGGAGTTGGGGGTCGTCCTCTCCGTCGCTGATGATGACGACCTCTCGTTCCTCCAAGTTGCGAAGAACATTCAGGCGTATCTGGGCCTCAGGGAAGAGCCAGCTGCGATAGCGTGCACAATGGTGGAAGGGGACTCGATGGCCAGCGACAGCACCACGGGATACGCAACTGGATCTTCAAGGCCACGACATGCAGAGATGCGGGGAGGCCGGTCGCCATTTGGGTGGTCACCACGTCGCCGACTGCTGAGGGGATACGCCTTGCGCGGAGGCTACAACTGCGGGCGGACGGGCCACATCGCCAGGAACTGCCGGCTACGCATTGGCGGTCCGCCGGGAGCTCCTGCAACCTACGACGTCAACTTCTCCTTGTCCTGAGGACCACAGGCGTGTCACGACGCATCATGCACATGGCAGTTTCATTCCCATCACTCATCCGCACCATGTTGCCCTGTAACCGCTCATCCCGACGGGTTGTATGATGATAGTAAATGGTGTGCATTGGCGTATCGGGCGTTCGGTGCTGCGCTGGGTTCGTCGGACGTTATTGCATTTATTCAGGGAGTAGAGGTCTGTGTGGTGATCGACATGGGTGCTTCGGCTACCCTCATTTCATTGCCGACTTTTCGTTCGTTGCTGGCCTCACCTGGCCGCTAGAGCAGGTGGATGGGCCATGTATTGCGGCAAATGGTGGTAGTCTTGGGATTGGGGGTCGCATGATTGTTACGATACAAATAGGGGATGTACGCATGGATGGCCCTGTGTTGGTTTCCACGACTTTGGCCG